CACGTGTTCAAGCCCGCGCGTTTCCTGGCAGCCCTGCGCCGGCGCCTCAGGCTCCCGCTGCCGCTCCTCCCGCGCACGCGCGGGGCAGCCGGCCGCCCAGGCTGCCGGGCCCGGCTGGACACGCTGGGAGACCACCTAGCCGCGTGCCCACGCACGGGGCTTCTCGCCAGACGCGCGAAACCGCTCGAACGAGCTTGGGCGAGGGTCGCCAGAGAAGCTGGAGGGAGAGTTGTCCCCCAACAGCTGCTGCGGGACACTAACGCCGTTGTCCACAACCCGCTGGACCGCAGACAATTAGACCTAGTCGTCTACGGTATCTCGCCGAACGGCGTCCCGCTGTGCTGCGACAGCACCATGGTGTCCCCCCTCCGCAGGGACGGCTGGCACCGGCCGCGCACCTTCGACACCGACGGCGCCGCGCTCCTTGGGGCCGAAAGGCGCAAACGACGCAGGTACCACGAACTCACGACCGGCCATTCAGGCCGCCTCATGGTCCTCTCCTGCGAGGTCGGAGGCTGGTGGGGCCGCGATTCCCTCCAGCTGGTACGCCTGCTTGCCAAGCAGAAGGCGCGGGCCGCGCCGGCCCTCCTCCGCCGCTCCGCGGAGCTCGCGTACACCAACCGCTGGTGGGGGTTCCTGAGCGTCGCGGCCCAGGACTCGCTCATGGCCACCCTGACGGGCGACGGCTACCTAGCCTTGGGGGGAGCCGCTGGGGAGGACGACCTAGACCTGGCCGAAGTGCTGCTCGCAGACTCCGCCGGCCCACCCGCTAGCCGCCTGCCAGCACGCCCCTGATGCTTGGCGCCGCGGCCAGCACGGCCGCCCCGGAGGGCTCCGACGAGCGCCGGGAGCACCCCCGACACGGCAGCGGGCACCACGAGGAGGTCAGCAGTACCACCACCACCACAACGGCGACCAGCAGCACCATCGCTTCGACTGCGACCCGCAGCAGAACCACCACCAACACCACCACCGCGAGAGCGACCCGCAGCACCACCACGACCACGACCAGGAGCACCACGACTGCGACCAGCAGCACCACGACTGCGACCAGCAGCAGCACCACCACGACTACGACCAGCAGCACCACCACCACCACGACCAGCAGCACCACCAGCACCACCAGCACAAGCAGCACCACCACGACTGCGACCAGCAGTACCACCACGACTACGACCAGCACCACCACGACTGCAACCAGCAGCAGCACCACAACGACCAGCAGCACCACCACCACGACCAGCAGCACCACCAGCACCACTACGACGGCGACCCTGCAGGACCCCCAAACAGACTGCGACCTGCAGCGCCACGGACGCGACCAGCATGCACAACGAACTGCGACCAGCCAGGCAGCACCACCAACGACTGCGGACCCTCAGCAGCACCACCAATACGGACAGCGTACCCGCCAGCACCACACGACCACGAACACGACCAGCTAGCTACCACGACTAGCGGAACAGCAAATACACCACACGAAGTCTGCTCAAACAGGGTGCAGCTCAGCTAACCGAGACAGCGACAGCAGCACCACCCCCGACCCTCGCAAGCACCAACAGCCTCAGCCAGCACTTCCACAGGACTGCGACCAGCTAGCCACCAAGCCACTACGACCAGCACCGCCACGACAACGACCAGCAGCACCACCAGCACCACCAGCACAAGCAGCACCACCACGACTGCGACCAGCACCACCACCACGACAGCGACCCGCAGCACCACCACGACCACGACCAGGAGCACCACGACTGCTACCAGCAGCACGACGACTGCGACAAGCAGCAGCACCACCACGACTACGACCAGTAGCAGCACCACCACCACCACGACCAGCAGCATCACCAGCACCACAAGCACAAGCAGCACCACCACGACTGCGACCAGCAGCACAACCACGACTACGACCAGCACCGCCACGACTGCAACCAGCAGCAGCACCACAACGACCAGCAGCACCACCACCACGACCAGCAGCACCACCAGCGCCACTACGACGGCGACCAGCAGCCCCACGACTGCGACCAGCAGCACCACGACTGCGACGACTGCGACCAGAAGCAGCACCACCACGACTGCGACCAGCAGCACCACCACCACGACAGCGACCCGCAGCACCACCACGACCACGACCACGACCAGCAGCACCACGACCACCACGACCAGCAGCACCACCAGCACCACTAGCACAAGCAGCACCACCACGACTGCGACCAGGAGCACCACCACGACTACGACCAGCACCGCCACGACTGCAACCAGCAGCAGCACCACCACGACCAGTAGCACCACCAGCACCACCACGACGGCGACCAACAGCCCCACGACCGCGACCAGCAGCGCCACGACTGCGACCAGCAGCACCACCACCACGACAGCGACCCGCAGCACCACCACGACCACGACCAGGAGCACCACGGCTGCGACCAGCAGCACGACGCCTGCGACCAGCAGCATCACCACGACTACGACCAGCAGCAGCACCACCACCACGACCAGCAGCACCACCAGCACCACAAGCACAAGCAGCACCACCACGACTGCGACCAGCAGCACCACCACGACTACGACCAGCACCACTACGACTGCAACCAGCAGCAGCGCCACAACGACCAGCAGCACCACCACCACGACCAGCAGCACCACCAGCACCACCACGACGGCGACCAGCAGCCCCACGACAGCGACCAACAGCGCCACGACTGCGACCAGCAGCACCACGACTGCGACCAGCAGCAGCACCACCACGACTGCGACAAGCAGCACCACCACCACGACTGCGACCCGCAGCACCACCACGACCACGACCACGACCAGCAGCACCACGACAGCGACCAGCAGCACCACGACTGCAAGCGGGAGCAGCAGTACTGAGACTGCGACCAGCAGCACCGCCACGACCCGCATCACCAGCACAACCAGCACTACCACTACCACGACTGCGACCGGCAGCACCACCGCCACTACGACCAGCACCACCACGACTGCGACCAGCAGCAGCACCACAGAGACTAGCAGCACCACCACGACCAGCAGCACCACCAGCATTAACACGACGGCGACTAGCAGCCTCACGACTGTGACCAACAGCGCCACGACTGCGACCAGCAGCACCACGACTGCGACCAGCAGCAGCACCACCACGACAACGACCAGCAGTACCACCACTACGACAGCGACCCGCAGCACCACCACGACCACGACCAGCAACACCACGACTGCGACCAGCAGCACCACCACGACGAGCACCACCAGCACAACCAGCAATACCACGACTGCGACCAGCAGCACCACCACGACTACAACCAGCACCACCACGACCGCGACCAGCAGCAGCACCACCACGACCAGCAGCAGCACCACCTCGACCGCGACCAGCAGCACCACCACGACTACAACCAGCAGCACTACGACTGCCACCAGCAACACCACGACCACGACCAGCAGCAGCACGACCACGACTGCCACCAGCAGCTCCACCACCACGGCCAACACCAGCACCAGCACCACCAGCACAACCAGCACCACCACTACTACGACTAGCACCACCACGACAAGCAGCACCACCACAACCGCGACCAGCAGCACCAACACGACTGCGACCAGCAGCCCCACGACTGCGACCTGCAGCGCCACGACTGCGACCAGCCGCAGAACCGCTACCAGCACCACCACCACGACTGCAACCCGCAGCACCACCACGACTGCGACCAGCAGCACCAAAACTGCGACCAGCAACACCACGACTGCGACCAGCAGCAGCACCACCACGACTGCGACCAGCAGCAGCAGCACCACCACCAAGACCAGCACCACCAGCACAACCAGCACCACCACGACAGCGACCACCAACACCACCACGACTACGACTCGCAGCACCACGACTGCGACCAGCAGCAGCACTACCACGACCGCAACCAGCAGCAGCACCACCAACACGACCACGACCAGCAGCAGCACCACCACGACTGCGACCAGCACCAATTCCGACCGGCAACACGACCCCCAGCAACGACGGGCACCACCTGCAACGACCAGCAGCAACGACGCGCACCTGCACGACGGCGCGCACCGACGACGCCCACCGCCCCTTCCCCCCGCCTTTCCCTCGGCCTCTGTCCCCTCGTCTCGGTCCCGTCTCGTTCGCCCCCTGCCCCCGCGTCGTTCGCCCCTCGCCGTTCGGGCCCGGCTCGTGCCCCTCGCCCCCTCGTCTTCCGTCCCCCGCCCGCCCCACCCCCGCCTGGAGTCCAGACCCAGCCGCGCCTGCGAGACAAGGGAGCAGTGGCAGCATGCTATGGCGCTGCTGATTCCCAAACTGGGGCCCAACGTCATCAGTTGCATCGCTGGGGCCAGCGCACGTGCGAAAAATGGGCAGCGGCAGTGGCAGCGAGCCAGGGAGGAGAGCGAGGCGGCAGAGGAGGAAATAGAAGAGGAGGGGAAGGCAGCGGACAAGCAGGACCAGGTCGAGGAGGAGGAGGAGGCGAAGATAACCGCGCTCGACGTCAGCAGGCAGTGGCAGCGAGCCAGGGAGTCAGGACGTGGAGGAGGAGGAGGAAGACGGGAGGTGATGGCGGAGCCAAGCGTCATCAGCTACAGCTCTGGGATCAGCGCACGCGCGAGGGGCGAGCAGTGGCAGCGGGCTCTCTCACTGCCCAGCGAGATGTGGGAGGCGAAGGTGGAGCCAAGTGACATCAGCTATAGCCCTGGGATCAGCACCTGCGCGAAAGACGAGCAGTGGCAGCGGGCTCTACCACTGCTCAGCGGGATGTGGGAAGTGAGGTTGGAGCCGAATGGCATCAGATACAGCCCTGGGATCAGCGCGTATGCGAACGGCGAGCAGTGGCAGCAGGCTCTCCCACTGCTCAGCGAGATGTGGGACGCGAAGGTGGAACCAAGCGTCATCAGCTACAGCTCTGGGATCAGCGCGTGCGCGAAAGGCGAGCAGTGGCAGCGGGCTCTATCGCTGCTCTGCGAGATGTGGGAAGTGAGGTGGGAGCCAGATGCCATCAGCTACAACTCTGGGATCAGCCCTGGGATCAGCGCGCGTACGAACGGCGAGCAGTGGCAGCGGGCTCAAACGCTGCTCTGCGAGATTTGGGAGGCGAAAGTGGAGCCAAGCGTCATCAGCTACAGCTCTGGGATCAGCGCGTGCACGAAAGGCGAGCAGTGGCAGCGGGCTCTATCGCTGCTCTGCGAGATTTGGGAAGAGAGGTTAGAGCCAGATGCCATCAGCTACAACTCCGGGATCAGCGCGTGCGCGAACGGCGAGCAGTGGCAGCAGGCTCTCCCACTGCTCAGCGAGATGTGGGAGGCGAAGGTGGGGCCAAGCGTCATCAGCTACAGTTCTGGGATCAGCGCATGCGCGAGAGGCGAGCAGTGGCAGCGGGCTCTCTCACTGCCCAGCGAGATGGGGGAGGCGAAGGTGGAGCCAGAGGCCATCAGCTATAGCTCTGGGATCAGCGCGTGCGCGAAAGACGAGCAGCGGCAGCGGGCTCTATCACTGCTCAGCGGGATGCGGGAAGTGAGATAGGAGCCGAATGTCATCAGCTAAAGCTCTGGGATCAGCGCGTGCGCGAAAGGCGAGCAGTGGCAGCGGGCTCCATCGCTGTTCTGCGAGATGTGGGAAGTGAGGTCGGGTCCAGATGCCATCAGCTACAACTCCGGGACCAGCCCTGGGATCAGAGCGTGTACGAACGGCGAGCAGTGGCAGCAGGCTCTTCCGCTGCTCAGCGGGATGCGGGAGGCGAAGGTGGAGCCAAGCGTCATCAGCTACAGCTCTGGGATCAGCGCATGCCGAGCAGTGGCAGCGGGCTCTATCGCTGCTCTGCGGAATTTGGGAAGTGAGGTTGGGACCAGATGCCATCAGCTTCAACTCTGGGGTCAGCGCGTGCGCGAACAGCGAGCAGTGACAGCAGGCTCCCCCGCTGCTCAGCGAGATGTGGGAGGCGAAGGTGGAGCCAAGTGTCAGCAGCCAAAGCTCTGGGATCAGCGCGTGCGCGAAAGGCGAGCAGGGTGGCAGCGGGCTCTCTCACTGCCCAGCGAGATGTGGGTGGCGAAGGTGGAGCCAGATGCCATCCGCTATAGCTCTGGGATCAGCGCGTGCGCGAAAGACGAGCAGTGGCAGCGGGCTTTATCACTGCTCAGCGGGATGTGGGAAGTGAGATCGGAGCCGAATGTCATCAGCTACAGCTCTGGGATCAGCGCGTGCACGAAAGGCGAGCAGTGGCAGCGGGCTCTATCGCTGCTCAGCGGGATGCGGGAAGTGAGGTCGGAGCCAGACGCCATCAGCTACAACTCTGGGATCAGCCCTGGGATCAGAGCGGGTACGAACGGCGAGCAGTGGCAGCAGGCTCTCCCACTGCTCAGCGAGATGCGGGAGGCGAAGGTGGAGCCAAGTGTCATCAGCTACAGCTCTGGGATCAGCGCGTGGACGAACGGCGAGCAGTGGCAGCGGGCTCTCTCGCTGCTCAGCGAGATGTGGGAGGCGAAGGTGGAGCCAGATGCCATCAGCTAGAGCTCTGGGATCAGCGCGTGCGCGAACGACGAGCAGTGGCAGCGGGCTCTATCACTGCTCAGCGGGATGTGGGAAGTGAGATCGGAGCCGAATGTCATCAGCTACTGCTCTGGGATCAGCGCGTGCACGAAAGGCGAGCAGTGGTAGCGGGCTCTATCGCTCTTCTGCGAGAGGTGGGAAGTGAGGTCGGAGCCAGATGCCATCAGCTACAACTCTGGGATCAGCCCTGGGATCAGAGCGCGTACGAACGGCGAGCAGTGGCAGCAGGCCCTCCCACTGCTCAGCGTGATGCGGGAGGCGAAGGTGGAGCCAAGTGTCATCAGCTACAGCTCTGGGATCAGCGCGTGCACGAACGGCGAGCAGTGGCAGCGGGCTCTCTCGCTGCCCAGCGTGATGTGGGAGGCGAAGGTGGCGCCAAGTGTCATCAGCTACAATGCTGGGATCAGCGCGGGCGAGAAGAGGGGGCAGTGGCAACAGGCATTCGTGCTGCTCAGCGCGATGCTGGACGCGAAGCTGGGACCCGACGTCGTGGGTTACGGCAGGCGGGCAGGGCCGGCGGGCGCTGCGGCCGCGGGCCGCCGGGCTGGGGCAGCTCTGGCGGCCTTCGCGGGCGGCCTTGCCCGGGCACGGAGCGGCGCTGGCCGGGCCAGGGCCTCGAGCGCTCCCGCGGCTTCGAGGCCGAGGCACGCAGGGCGGCTCGGCCGGGCGGGCGGCGGGCGGCGGCGGATGGCGGCGCGAAGACCGCGCGGTGGCTGGCGGGCCCGCCGGGCCGCCTAAGGCGACCGCGGGCGTCGGCAGCCCAGCCTGGGGGCCAGCCGGAGGGAGCCAGGTGCAGCGGCCCCTTTCGCTGCGGACTCGGCCAGGGACTGGGACTGGGACTAGGAGGGAGGAAAAAAAAAAAAAAAACTTGGGCTGAGCCTGCGACCGCCAGGGCGACCCGAGGCAGCCAGCCGTGGCTAGCTGGCGGCAGGTTCGGGGTCGGTTGGCCTCGGCCCAATCCCCTTCCGCTCCTTTGGGGCGCGCGTGAGCCCTGCGCTCACTGCGGGCGCGCGGCAGGTCCATGCACTTGCCGCTTGGGGGCGTGGCAGCCTGGGCGTCAGGGAGAGGACGCGGGAAACCAACACAAGAAGGAAGCATTTAAAAAACGCACCCAACAAACCAGAAATTACGCTGCCGAGGGACCCCACATACTTATATGATGGCTGGAGTGATGATAGCTGAAGTGGAGCATGTAAGAATGATGTTGGTGGCCGTTGCCACCCCCTGCGCACTCCGTATTTTGTCTAGAAAGTACCACGCCTGCTATGCCCTGGACGACCGTCGTGCCTAGCGGCCGCGGTGAGAAACCACCCCCTGCGCACCCCCTAGGGTGTCGAGAAAGTGCCACACCTGCTATGCCCTGGACGACCGTCGTGCATAGCGGCCGCGGTGAGGGACCAATCCCTGCGCACCCCCTTTGGTGTCGAGCAAGTGCCACACCTGCTATGCCCTGGGCGACCGTCTCGAATAGCGGCCGCGCTCGGGGACCACCCCCTGCGCACTCCCTGTGGGATCGAGAAAGTGCCACGCCTACTATTCCCTGGACGACCGTCTCGGATAGCGGCCGCGCTCAGGTACCACCCCCTGCGCACCCCCTATGGAATCGAGAAAGTGACACGCCGACTATGCCCTGGACGACCGTCTCGGATAGCGGCCGCGCTCAGGGGCCACCCCCTGCGCACCCCCTATGGTGTCGAGAAAGTGCCACGCCTGCTATGCCCTGGACGACCGTCTCGGATAGCGGCCGCGCTCGGGGACCACCCCCTGCGCACCCCTTAAGTGTTGAGAAAGTGCCACGCCTGCTCTGCCCTGGACGACCGGCGCGGATAGGGGGACCACCCCGTGCGCCCACCTATGGTATCGAGAAACTGCAACGCCTACTACGGCCTGGACGACCAGCGCGGATAGTGGGACCACGCCGTGCGCACCCACTATGGTGTCGAGAAACTGCCACGCCTGCTACGTCCTGGACGACCGGCGCGGATAGGGGGACCACCTGCGCACCCACTATGCGTCGAGAAACTGCCACGCCTGCTACGGCCTGGACGACCGGCGCGGAAAGGGGGACCACCCCCTGCGCACCCCCTATGGTGTCGAGAAACTGCCACGCCTGCTACGGCCTGGGCGACCGGCGCGGATAGGGGGACCACCCCCTGCGCACCCCCTATGGTGTCGAGAAACTGCCACGCCTGCTACGGCCTGGACGACCGGCGCGGATAGGGGGACCACCCCTGGCGCACACCCCAATGTGTCGAGGAAACGTCAACCCTGCTACGGCCTGGACGACCGGCGCGGATAGGGAGACCACCCCGTGCGCACCCACTACGGCGTCGAGAAACTGCCACGCTTGCTACGGCCTGGACGACCGGCGCGGATGGGGGGACCACCCCCTGCGCACCCCCTATGGTGTCGAGAAACTGCCACGCCTGCTACGGCCTGGACGACCGGCGCGGATAGGGGGACCACCCCGTGCGCACCCCCTATGGAGTCGAGAAACTGCCACGCCTGCTACGGCCTGGACGACCGGCGCGGAAAGGGGGACCACCCCCTGCGCACTACCCCTTTGGTGTCGAAAAGCGCCACGCCTGCAACGGCCTGGACGACCGGCTGCGGATAAGGGGACCACCCCGTGGCGCACCCCCTATGGTGTCGAGAAACTGCCACGCCTGCTACGGCCTGGACGACCGGCGCGGATAGGGGGACCACCCCGTGCGCACCCCCTATGGCGTCGAGAACTGCCACGCCTGCTACGGCCTGGACGACCGGCGCGGATAGGGGGACCACCCCGTGCGCACCCCCTATGGTGTCGAGAAAGTGCCACGCCTGCTACGGCCTGGACGACCGGCGCGGATAGGGGGACCACCCCGTGCGCACCCCTTACGGCGTCGAGAAAACTGCCACGCCTGCTACGGCCTGGACGACCGGCGCGGATAGGGGGACCACCCCGTGCGCACCCCCTATGGTACCCCCTCCGAGAAAGTGCCACGCCTGCTACGGCCTGGACGACCGGCGCGGATAGGGGGACCACCCCCTGCGCACCCCCTATGGTGTCGAGAAACTGCCACGCCTGCTACGGCCTGGACGACCGGCGCGGATAGGGGGACCACCCCCTGCGCACCCCTATGGTGTCGAGAAACTGCCACGCCTGCTGCGGCCTGGACGACCGGCGCGGATAGGGGGACCACCCCGTGCGCACCCACTATGGCGTCGAGAAACTGCCACGCCTGCTACGGCCTGGACGACCGGCGCGGATAGGGGGACCACCCCCTGCGCACCCCCTATGGTATCGAGAAAGTGCCACGCCTGCTACGGCCTGGACGACCGAGCTGAGCTGTGCTGTGCTGAGCTGAGCTGAGCTGTGCTGAGCTGTGCTGAGCAGTGCTGTGCTGTGCTGTGCTGTACTGTGCTGTGCTGTGCTGTGCTGAGCTGTGCTGTGCTGTGCTGAGCTGAGCTGAGCTGAGCTGTGCTGAGCTATGCTGAGCAGTGCTGTGCTGTGCTGTGCTGTGCTGAGCTGAGCTGAGCTGTGCTGTGCTGAGCTGAGCTGAGCTGAGCTGAGCTGTGCTGAGCTATGCTGAGCAGTGCTGTGCTGTGCTGTGCTGTGCGAGAAGGAGAAGGGGAGGGGGGAGGTGTGAGACGCGGGTGCGGCGCGGCAGGAAAGAGAACCAGAACCCCACGAAACATGTGGGGAGCAAGAACACAGCAACGAAAACAGTTACACAAGCTTGGGCAGCACCAGCAGCGCCAGCAGCCTCGACGGCACAGTCGCCATCAATTATCTCGCGCACATGGAGACAGATGGTGCCATTCATTTGGGGACAACCCAGGGGCGCGCTTGGATTGGCGATCTCCGCGCTCGTTTTGTCGCCCCCCCCTCAAAAATAAAAAAAAGTCTGCTGACGTGCAGTGGC